CTTGGTAGCCCAGGCTGGCCTCGAACTCACAGAGATCCGCCTGGCTCTGCCTCCCGAGTGCTGGGATTAAAGGCGTGCGCCACCACCGCCCGGCCACCTGGCTGTTTTTTGGTGGAGTTTTATGGCCTCACTGGCTTCCTAAACTGGTGTGCAGACTAGTCTTATGTCAACTTGACATAAGCTGGAGTCAATAGAGAGGAGGACACCCCAATTGAGAAAATGAATCCATAATATCAGGCTGTAGGCAAGCCTGTGTAGAGCATTTTCTTTTACTTTTACTTTTCTTTCCCCTTTTAGTTTTTTGAGACAGGGTTTCTCTGTGCAGCTCTGGCTGTCCTGGAACACATTCTATAGACCAATCTGGCCTCGAACTCACTGAGATCTGCCTCTGCCTCCCTGAGTGCTGGAATTAAAGGCATGTGTGCTACCACTGGCCAGCTGGAGGGCATTTTCTTAGTTAATGACTGATGTGGGGAGGGTCCAGCCCATTGTGGGTGGTGCCATCCCTGGGCTGGTGGTCCTGGGTTCCATAAGAAAGCAGGCTGAGCAAGTCATGGGGAGCAAGCCAGTAAGCAGCTCCCCTCCACGTCCTCTGCATCGGCTCCTGCCTCCAGGTTCCTGCCCTGTTTTAGCTCCAGGTCTGACTTCCTTCAATGATGAACATCAATATGGAAGTGTAAGGTAAATAAACCCTTTCCTCCCCATCTTGCTTTTGGGTCATGGCAATAGAAACCCTAGCTAAGGACAACTAGGGTCATTATGTCCCCAAATTTCTTTACTGTTACAATTTAAACACCCCCTCCAACACTAGTCAACTCAGGGGACATTGGGGTTTTTGTTTGTTTGTTTGTTTGTTTAGTTAGTTGGTTTTTTGAGATAGAGTTTCTCTTATGTAGCCCTTGCTTGTCTTGAAACTTGTCCTGTTGACCAGGCTGGCCTCAAACTCACAGAGATCCCTCTGCCTCTGCCTCCTGAGTGCCAACACTACCCTGTCTCCCCTATTTCTCTTTTAGGGTCTTAGACAGTGCAGTGCATCTAGACATCTACATTGTTTCTATCAGCAGGTAGCTTCTTAAGTTTCACAAATCAAACAAGGCTTGATCCTTCAGGGTTCCTAGGAAGTACTGCATTAAGCAACCTTTGACCATATTAGTTATAGTATGTTCCCAAATTGTACTCATGCAGTGAGGCATGAAGGTTTGGGGCAGTGAGATGCATCAATCTTTCCAATGAATTTCATTTATTATTATTATTACTATTATTATTTTTTATTATTGGTCTCATGTAGCCCAGGCTGGTCCTGAACTTGCTATGGCCTTGAACTTCTGTTCCTCCTGCCTCTACCTCCCAAGTATAGTATTATAGAGTCCAGATTATCTGAGATTACAGATGAATGCCACTATGCTGGCAGCTACAGAGAGATCTTAGAACTCTAAATGAGAACAAGGTTTGGTTCTAGAAGGCACATAGTGGAGGCTGAGGGCTTGGCCCTGAGTGTTCCATGTAGCTCTAAGAGTGTTTGAATTTGGCACCACTGTGGCTGAGGTGAGGACGTGCTCTTGTCCGTATTGTTCACACCTACCTTTAACTCCTCCCACGAAGTCACCTTCATGTTCAAAAGCAGGAAGTCCTTCACGTAGCTCTGCAAGAGATCCTCCTGCTGTGCCACAGGGAGCTGAGAGAGAAACCCACCCAAGGGAGTCTTCTGGAAGATTTCCACGAACTTCTTTGATAACCCTACGGAGAAGAAGGCACAGAGTGGCATGAGCAAGATGAAACCCTGAGTCTAGGGAAGAAAGAGGTCACTGTCTCAAAGAAGGAGCTATTAGACCCAGGCTGGAGAAATTTTAAAACAACATACTGGAGGCTACTCCACATCCAGAGTGTTAAAACTAAGCCCTTCAAAACTGTCCTGCCTTGAGCAGGTTAATTCTTCTGCCTTGAGCCTGCACTGGGGGGGCTCACCCTCTGTGTCTGTGATATACTGAGCTTGCACCCAGAGCTCCTCCAGGTAGTCCCTGATCCTCCAGCTGAAAGGGACAGCATTGCATGCATCCTTGAGCAGGTTCATGTGGCTCTGTACCAGGACGGAGGGCATCTCATTTTTGGACCTGCAACAAGGCAAGCGAGAGCAAGGCTCGTGAGATGGCACTGGAGACATGAGGTCATGTGCACAACTAACACCAGCCCTTCAGAGGGGCTATCCCTGGGGAATGGCTCTGAGATGGAGCACGTGCCCACATGGGGGAGGTACCAGCAGCATTTCATACAGCGAGGAAACAAGGAAAGGAAGACATGGTAGGGATGGGAGATGGTTCTGTCAAGCCATGCTGTACAAGCAGGAGGACCCGAGCGTAGATCCCCAGCACCTACTCAAAAAAAAAAAGCAGGTGCAGTTGCATGCACTTGGAATCTGAGTGCTGGGGAGGCAGGGATGAGGACTGATCCCTGGCGTTGGCTGTTCAGCCAATCGAGCCAAATAGTTAGCTTTGGCCTCAGGAAATAAGGTAGCAGGTGGGCTGCCCGCAGTGAAGAGCACAGACTGCATTTCCAGAGGACCTGGGTTCAGTTCCCAGCACCCACACCTGGGATTGTAATCGCCTGCAGCTCTGGCTCCAAGGGTTCTTCTGGTCTCCATGGACAACCATGTAAACAGACACAGACAGACACACACAACTAAAAATAAACCTGTAACAAGAGATCTGCCATGACTGAGGAAGACACCCAGTGCTGACCTCTGACCTCCACATGCATGTACACATATGTTCATACACACACAAAATTCTTAAAAATTCAAAGACTATTGCTGTAGGCCTCATGGGTGGCTGCAGGTGGGTTCCCAGGTCAGGGATTCTGCTGTCCAGGAACTCAAGGAAAAGCGGCAGCAAGAGCCACCACGTAAGGTCCCAAAGTTCTGTGGCAGATCCAGGTCTCTGTGGCCTTCCTGCCCTCCCCTCCGCCACTGCCTCTGCGCCGAGGGGTCTGACCATATGCTCGAAGCCTTCTTGCATGAACATCGGCAGCACACCATACTCTAATACATGCTCCCAATAGCAATTCAGAATCCCATTCCAGGGGCTGGAGAGGTGGTTCAGTGGTTAAGGTGCTTGCTGCTCTTCCAGAGCTGAGTTCTGTTCCTGGTACCCACATTAGGTAGTTCACAACTGCCTATAACTCCAGCTCCAGGGATCTGACATTCTTTTCTGGACTCTTTGGGCACCCACACACATGGCACCTTCATACTTTTCAATATCCCATTCCTTTATGTATTTCTTAGTAGCCTACATCCTGGAACAAGGTTTCCTTGGGTCCAAGCCCCACAAGGTCAGGCCTTCGGGAAGGGACAAGCACGAGGAAGGCTGAGTTCAGGTTCTGCCCCACTCAGCATCTGTGTTGTGCAATAGAACCTGGTGACCTGGACCTCTCACGTGCTCTCAACATTGGCAGATGGAACAGCAGAGTGACCAAGGACCTCTCAGGGCTTCAGTGAGCACTGTCTGCTGCTATGACCCTCCGGGCTGCACTGAGCAGGTTCACAGGGTACAAAAGTAGCTTGGGGACAGAACAAGGTGCTGCTGCTCTGTTATGACCTTCCCTCCATCAAAGCCAGGCTCTCACTCACCTTGTGTTATTCACCACAAGAGGGATGTTCAGGAACTTAATGTCACTGAAAATAAACATCCAAAGAGCTTGGACCCAGGCTGGTGAATCTGGCTGGGCCAGTAGCTCCAGGTTGCCGTCTCTGTCGATGTGAGATATCATGCTCGCCAGGAGGGGGGTGACTGCACCTTGGACCCGCTTCCAAAGGGTATGCCTGCAATAGGGGCAGAGGGAGCCCACTATGGTTAGGGTAATCACAACACACACTACTGCCTCCACATTCTCTTCCCCAGGTTCCCACATGGAAGCCAGAGCAATAGCAGCTTCCCAACATTTCCAAGAATGGGGAAAGCCGGGCAGTGGTGGCGCACGCCTTTATTCCCAGTACTCAGGAGGCAGAGGCAGGCAGATCTCTGTGAGTTCAAGGCCAGCCTGGTCTACAGAGGTAATTCCAGGATAGCTAGGACTGTTTTACAGAGAAATCCTGTCTCGAAAAACAAACAAGCAGAATGAGGAAAGTGGTTAGAGATGGCTCAGTGATTAACAGCATGGCTACTCTTCCAGACGACCCGGGTTCGAGTCTTAGCACTCACAGGGAAGCTCATAACTATCTGTAACCCCCGTTCTGGGTGACCTGACACCCTCTTCTGCCCTCTGGAGGTGGTGCACAGGCACACATGCATGCAAAATACTGATGACATAAAATATGGTTTTTAAATTTAATTTGAAAACAAAAACTGGGAAAGAGAGTGACCAGCAGAGAAGGGCCTTAGAAGGTGAGAGCAGAACTGGGCAGAAGCTGCTTCCACAGCTGCGTCTGAAACACTCATCAGAGAGGCGAGGACACTGACTTGTTTTTAAATGTAGCTATTTCCAAAACCAGTCATCCATTTCTTTTAACAATGAAAACAGCTGGATGGTGGTGGTGCACACCTTTAATCCCAGCACTCGGGAGGCAGAGGAAGGCAGGTCTCTGTCAGTTTGAGGCCAGCCTGGTCTACAGAGCTAGTTCTAGGACAGCCAGGGCTACACAAAGAAACTCTGTCTCAAAAAAAAAAAAAAAAAAAAAAAACCCAAAAACAAAAAAGCCACAAGATACAATGAAAACGATGACCAGATGTGTATTGTGTTCCCCAAAATATTGTGTACCCTAATAAACTTATCTGGGGTCAGAGAACAGAAAAGCCACTAGATACTTAGGATAGGCAGTGGTAGCACAGGCCTTTAATCCTAGCATTCCAGAGGCAGAAATCCATCTGCTCAAGGATACAGCCAAGCATGGTGACTCATGCCCTTAATCCCAGAAAGTGAGCCTTTAATCCCAGGGAGTGGTGGTAGAAAGCAGAAAGGTATATAAGGCGTGAGGACCAGAAACTAGAAGCATTTGGCTAGTTAAGCTTTCAGGCTTCTAACAGCAGTTCAGCTGAGATCCATTTGTATATGAGGACTCAGAGGCTTCCAGTCTGAGGAAACAGGATCAGCTGAGGTAGCTGTGGCTTGTTCTGCATCTCTGACCTTCCAGCATTCACCCCAATAACTGGCTTCAGGTTTGATTTTATTAATAAGAACTTTTAAGATTCCTGCTACAACCAGATTCATTGAGAAAGAAATTTTCCGCAGCTAGGGATAAAACAAAGTACGATTATAAAATAAACAGCAAAGTAAACTTTCTCCAGATCAAGTTAGTCAAGAAAGCATGCTCCCTGAGATTTAGCTCTGCACCTGTGTACTTGAGGTTGCCATGGTCAGTGTCTGAATTAACTACATGACATGCTGCTGACCTGCTCAGGACTGGGATGTGAATCAGTGTTGAGCACCAGCTGACCATGAACCAAGACCTGAGTTCAACCTCCAGCACCATCCCAAGGAGACATTTATAGAGAATAATCAAGTCCATAACTGATGATATATAAGATATATATGAGACTGTAGTGAAATACAAGAATGATGAACTAATGTTGGAGGTTGGTAGCTAGTGTTAGCATCTAAGACGGAGAACTGGGAGAGAAGAGACTGAGAACACTTGCTGAGGACGACAACAGTCGTCTCAGGGCACAGAGACACCCCTCGGCTTAACAAGCACTCCTCACACGGTGACAAGGACAAGAGTGTGAGCTGAAGGCTGAGATGGGAGCAGCTGAGATGAAGCAGGGCCCTGAGGTGTGTGGCGGTCAGGCGTTGGAGAAGCTCCCTGCAGACAGACTGCAAGCTCGGGTAAATGAACAGTGCTGGTGAGCTCAGGCCAATCGGCATTTACCACAGACTAGCGGGCTGGGAGGCCTGACAGTCCAGAGGGCTTTATGTACATTAAATGGGGGCACAGTCTGCAGAGATAAGACACAGCCTTAGATCCTCCAAAGGCCCAGGGTGCTACCTCAGTCCAACACAGGCTCTTCCAAGCTCCTCTTAAGTCCAGAGGAAATGGTCGGTTTTGTAGAAAAAGGGGCGCATATAGTAAGGTACTCTCCTGGCTCCTAAGGCTATAGACAGAGTCACCTCAAGCAATGGGTATCATTGTCAGCTCAGGCTCACAGCCTCTGGCAGCATCACTTGCTATGGTTATGACACACTGGCAAACACATTCCCAGGAATAGATGATGGGGGAGGGGAGGGTTCCCTGAATTGATTGTTCATACGTTTTTTTGAGACAGGGTCTCTCTGTATAGCACTAACTGTAATGGAACTCATCTGTAGACCAGGCTGGCCTCAAACTCACATCTGCCTGTGCCTCCCTGAGTGCTGGGATTAAAGGTGTGCAGCGCCACCACTGCCTGGCTCCCTGAATATTTTTATTACAAAAAAGTATAAATAATTGGGATGCAGATGCAAGTGGATCTCTGTGAATTTGAGGCCAGCCTGATCTACAAAGTGATTTCCAGGACAGCCAGGGCTGTTACACAGGGAAACCCTGTCTCAAAGAACCAAAAAAAAAGTATAAATAAAATAAGAAAAGACCAGAACTGTCCCATAGAGCCACCATCCAGGTTCATTTAAGGCCCTGGGAGGGGAAATTACATCTCCAGTTTGCTCAGAGGTGTAGGAAGAAACACCTGGACACTTATCCTCAATGTAAGAGTCACACCA